AACTGCGTGGTCTTAGAAGACATCGATAAGTCAGTCAACAATACATAATGTGACAATGCATTGAAGTTTAAGTCTATCATGCTATTTTATACCCATTGTTTAATAAGCACCTTTATGTGTTGGGCACTTTACGTATTAAAAGCCTTATTATTATTATTAAATACCAAAGATGAACTTGACAAAGCCTCTGCCCTCATCAAGCTGACATTCTAGTGAGAGGAGACAGATAATAAGTAAGAAAACAACCACACTTTTAAGATAGTAATACCTGCTGTAGAGAAAATTCAGAGAGGATACTGTGGTGGACATGAGGGGAAGGAAGGAAGACATTAGTTTAGGTGCTGGTTTGGGACCCTCTCTGAGGAGATGACATTTCAGCTAAGACCCAAGTAACAAGAAAGAGCCAGCTATGTTAAGCTCTTAGCGATGCATTCTAGGAAGAGGGAGTAGTAAGCACAAACCTCTTCCAATGGGAGTGGGCTTGGCATATCTGATGCAGGAGTTGGCACAATAGGAAGTCAGAGAGGCAGGAGGGGCCAGATCACAGAGGACCCTGTAAGAACATGGTATGGGACCTAGCTTTTATTCAATGTAAAAAGAAAACCAATGCAAGGTTTTGAGCAAAGGAGTTACATGCCCTTTAAAGGACCACCCTGGTTATTATGAGAACTAACTACAGGGAACCAGAGAGGAAACAGGGAGACAGAAAGTTATTACAATACCCAAGTAAGAAACTGTGATGGTTTAGAAGAGGGTAATAGCAGTGAGATGAACAGAAGCAGGTGTATTCAGTATATTTTGGTAGTAGAGCCAAAGAACTCGCTGGTGGATATGGGAAGTGAGGGAAATTAAGAAATCAGTTAGGGATTCCAGTTTTGCACAGCTAGATTGGACCATAGAGCAATGATGAGAAGACTATGAGTCGACTGAAGGAAAAAGAGGTTGCCTGTCAGACATCAAATTGGAAAAGTCAAGGAGGCAACTGGATATATGTTTGGAGCTCAGAAAAGTCAGGACTGAGATATACATGTGGAATTCATTAACATACAGTTTGAATTTAAAGCCATTGGACTAAAGTCACTTGAGGAGAGATCATAAATTTATAAATAGAAAAAAAAAAAGTCTAGGATTGAGACCAGGAGCACTCAATTGAGAAGGAACAGTTAGTGAGTTAAGAGGAAAGGAGAGTGTGGTATCTCAAAGCCAAGAGAATAAAGTGTTGCAAAAAAGAGAGTTTTCGAAAGGTTAAATAAGGTAAGAACAGAGAAGTAGCCATCAGTTTTAAAGATCACGTGTGATCTTGACAAGAGTAGGTTTAGGAGTGTGGTGGAGATGGAGGCCTAATTACAGTGGCTGAAGGAGTAAATAGAACTTAAGGACACTGAGAAAGTACTATCTAGATAAGGGTTTTGAAAACTTTTTCTGTAAAAGGAAGCAAGGAAATGGGACGGCAGCTGGAAGGATTCATGGAATTTTTAAGACTGGATATAATAGAGTATGGTGTCAAAAATTGTTTTTATGGTGGGAGACATTTTTATCCCTATTCCTAGGTTAAAAAGTAGTGTTCAGAAAAGTTTAGAACTGGTTTAACTTGCTTAAGGTTACAGAGCTAGACAGTAACAAAATCTAGATTCAAATTTAGGTCTGACTCCAGCGCTCATGACCTGTCCACATTTCTCTGCGGCCTCTGATTTGCAGGAAAATTAAGAACTAGAAAAAATAAGTCATGCTTTCTGGTGAAATTATAAAAATAATGTATGATATCTTTATATATTGATACAGTGAAAATGAACAGGGTGAAATCAGCAGGTTATAACAGACAGCTTGGTTATGCATGCTTGGAACTATCTAACTATGTTTTATCACAACAGAATGAGGCAAAACAAATTCACTCCAATACACTTAATATTAAAAAGAGTGGAAATTAATGACTGCTTTATAGATGCTCTTATACCTACCTTGCTTTCTTTGAGGTCAAAGCTTTATTTTCATTCAGCTTTCTTCCACCACTTTCTGCATTGAAATATACATGCATTTCAGTGTGTTATGTCTACACATTTCACACATTAACACATACATGAAACATTTAACAATTAGTTAGAAAGTTCATTTTGTGACCTCCTACCAACAGACTAGCCTATATCAAAATTTTTAAAAATTTCATTTAGTAGCCAGGTTTCAAAGACACTACTTAAAAAAAACACACACAATTATTTACTAGGAAAATAAAAATTTGGATAAAAGGCAATCATTTTATTTCTCAAACTCAAAGTAGGACTTTAGGAATGGATCTATATTTACATATATCTAATATAAAATCTAGATGCCGCTACTTTGGTGCCATTAATCTTGAATACAGTAAAAATGTTTCTTTTTCTTCCCTTTGAAAACATCTTCACTGTATTTAATGATTATGAAAGTGAAAACATTTAAAAAATTTGTTCAAGAATATAAAAATCAGGTGAGGAGAGGGGGCTTTCAATACTAACTCTAATTAAGCTGAATCAAATCAATTACTGTGATATACTCATTGCTTAAAAATCATTTAAATATTTTGCTATCTCCTGCCTATCAAATTAGGAACCCTGACATGTCACTGAGAGAACTAAATAGAAAAGATATTAAATTGTTGGGGTATCTAGTATTCCTTAATGTTTAACAGATAAAATACATTGTACACATAACATATCATTTTACAAATAATGTAAAAGTGAAAACATTATTCACAGAAGTATCTGATTCAGTTTCCATGTTCTAAAAGGAAAAATACCTGTGGTATTCCTTGCACCATCTTTCCATGTATCTGGAGTGATAACAGTACCAAGTTTCTTTTCACCTGTTATAACAAGACAGTAAAAGTAAGGGAGATTAGTGTTTACTATTTAATAAATACACAACATTGTGCCTGAAGTTCACAGTGGCATCACCAGTCATATCATGTACAAGCCTGTTAATGCTGGGGTCAGGGCCAGTGAACTGAGACTTAAGATATTAACTGTGGGCAATGGATAGCTGACTCTTCAGTAAAATTTGTGGATAATAGTATGGCTTATAATAGGCTTCCTCTGTACATGGATCCTTTAAACAAATCTGACAAATCTATTCTTTCCATAAATATTTACTAAGCATCTCTGATGTATAAGCCATTGTACAAAGTACAGATAAAAATAAAACAAATGAGATAAAGCTCTAGATTTCAAGGAATTTATAGCACACTGATTTCTCTAATAGTAGTCCTTAACCTGAGTTTCACAGGTAGACCTTAGGAAATATATGAACAAGATTAAATTGTACACAAACCTTTTGTATATCCATTTTTTAATAAACTATGTTAAGTCTACAGCTTTCATCACATTCTCAAAGGGCTCAGAGAACCAAAAAAAAAAAAAAGTTAAGAATTATTCAACTAAAATATAAGCTGGAAAGTAAATAGTATGACAATTGAGAGCTCAAGTACTAGGAGAAGTTCCATGGAGGAAGAAATAATCTTGGCTAGGGAAATCCAGTGAAGCTTTGTGGGGAAGGCAATAGAGAGGATTAGTGGCAATGAGACTGTGAAGAAAGAGGAGGAGAGAAGATGAAGGTAAACTGAATAAGGGATACATCCTGGGGAAAGGCATTGAAAACTCAGGGTACATACGGGCAAAATATTGTTTGGTTTGGCTGAAGTGAAAAGGGTAAGGCTTAGTGAAAATGCAGTTAAAAAGGTAAGCTGAGGCCTCACTGAGGAGGGTCCTCCTGAATGCCAGGCTCCAAATATAGAAATCCCAAATTATTCTCTGCACCCTGAGAATTTATTAAAGTAACCATCCATGGTCATTCTTTCACTTAATATAAAAACTGTGATTCAAACTCAAGGGCATCTATGTTCAAAGTTTTATATACTATAGGGATATAAACAAAGTGGATCACATTAATTAGACAATTATCAGGATAAGAGGACTTGAAACTGTCACAGAAGAGTCAGACATATCTAGCTGTAGGAAAAAGGGATTTGGGGATATGACAGCTCTTTTAAAACACATAACCAGTTTGTGAGATCAAAATATCATAAGATATTTTCTAAATATCAAGGGTTGGCATTAGAATCACTGGATGGCAACTATAGGGAGGAAAGACTTTTCTAAAAGCCAGTGAAATCTACACAGACTGCTTTGAAGGTGGTGAGATTCTCCTACCCCTGTGCCTCAATCCTCTATGCATTCATGCAAAGAGCATTTAAACCATTGGATGGGATATTGACTTAGGTTTGTTAGATAACATACAGGACACCCAGTTAGATTTAAATTTCATATAAACAATGAATACTTTTTTTTTTTTTTTTTTAGTAAAGAATGTCCTAAAAGTGCGTGCTTTGGGACAAAGCACTTACTGTAGTGACGAGCAGCAAACAGAGCCAAGTCTCAAACATTGCATAGGACATACTTACACTAAAAATTATTTGTTGTTTTCCTGAAATTCAAATTTAACTGGGCGTCCGGTACTTTTATTTACTAAATCCATCAACTCCAGATGCTGTGGAAGTGACTTTTAAGATCCATTCCAACCCGGCGGGTCTGTGAAGGGAGGAAGCCCGTCAAGAAGCAGTTGATGGGAAGCAACGGGGTTGATGGGAAGCAACGGAAATAAACAGAGGTGCAAAACTGAGACCACTCTGAATGCAAATACAGGACGATACGGTCGTTGGGGAGGGCAGGAATGGTCAAAGGGCAGTATAGGAGGACAGAGACTAGAATCAAGGACCTGTGGCCGAAGGAAAAACAAGGAAAGCGCAAAGTTCCCGGGGAACTCCAGTTAGGTTCTCCCAGCCTCCTTCTCCCGCAGAAGAGTCTCCTTAACTCACATTTTTCGCACACCATCCTTCCGCGACGATTCCCTCAGCCGCAGGACGAGCGGCAGCTAGAAGAAGTTAACAATACAGCCAGGGAAGCACTCCCCTTCCGGGTTACGAAAATACACTTCCGGCCCTTCCGCCCTCCGCCCCGCCTGTCCAACACCTGGAAAGCCGCGGGAGGAATAAACGCGAGTGGGGAGGCGGGGGCTGCCTTCTTGGCCCGCCTCTCCACTTCTGCGATTGGCTGTGAGGCCTTGGGCCTCCTCCCCACAGGCCTGCGCCTGCGCGAGGCACAGGGCCCGAGTTACACCTGATGGTGGGAGGTAGAAACTCTCCGTTCTCTTCCGCGGGCGGGAGAGTTAGGTAAGCCCAGCCGGAGGCTCGGGGTGCGCGAGCCTCCCGGCGCTGCAAGCCACTTCCGCCAGCTGCCCAACTGGCCGGGAATATCTGCCCCCGGCCGGTCCGTGCCTGCCGGCCCGCGCCTGCCGGTCCCTCCAGCGCCGCCCTTCCTGCGTGACCCAGGGGCTGCGCTGATGGACTGGCCTCTTTCGGATCCGACATTCTGTGTCTGTCCCTTCTTTTCTCTCGGTCTCCACGCTTGTGCTCTTTGATTATGCTTCTCAATTCGTCCCTCGTTGCCTACACTCCCGTCGGCTGAGGCTTGGGCAGAGTTCGGAGCGACCCAGTTTGGGATGGAACTGCAGGTTAAGGTCCCTCGATTCCCGCGAAGGCTCCTCTAGGAGCCGCTCAGAAGAGCCTTCTCTCCCGCTGCAAGGCTTGAGGACTCGGGCCAGGTCAGACCGTGGAGGCCGGGGCCCTGGCCACCCGAGGAAGCACCTGACGAGAGTCCTCCTGGGCTCGCCAGGGCCCAACACAGGGCTGGTTTCTCAGGAGGGGCAACACTGGACCAACTTTTCATTCGTTCGTTCATTCATTCAGTCATTCAGCAAGCATCCGACTTTGGGTACCATTCACTGTCTTAGGTCCAGATCTGCTTCAGTCAGTTGCGATTCTGAGGGTGGCCCAGAAAAATATCTGAAGGTTTGTCTATTGAGAGACTATATTCTGGATTCCCTTCCCAGCCCCTCAGCTGAGGCTAGGACCTGTGAGAAACATTTCCTTTCTTTCTTGCCATGCATTCTTTTCTCGACCCCCTAGTGCGTATCTTTGTATCAAAGAGGCTAGGTTTTGAAATGGCTTTAGCACTTGGGAGCTTGGGACCTTGGAGTGTTTCCTAATCTGTTTTACCCTGTTTCCTTATCCGTAAAGTGTTTGCCTTGTAAAAATACAGTGTGAATTAAACGAGAGTGTTATTATAAGGCGTGGATTCGCCCCTTTGCCCCAGTGGGCGCTCTGTGTGTGTCTATAAAATATACACATATATATATATTTTTTTTTCCTGGAATATTAACCACAGTGTAACATGTGGACTACTACTTTAATAAAGTCCTTACTTAACATTAGTCAATACTATGTATAAGCTATCTGTTAGGTAATTTGTAAATACATACATATATAAAATAACGTGTTTTATATATATATATATAGAGAGAGAGAGAGAGAGAGAGAGAGAGTGAGAGAGTGAGAGAGAACGTAAATATTTTTCCACCTTCCATTCATGCTCTGCTTTTGGTTGGAATCTGGCATGTGTAACTGACATTGTCATTTTGGTATTTTTGCAGTACTGGGACTCCTTAGTTTAGCATAATGTTCTTTGAAGCTTCTTGGTAACACTGGCCACCATTCCAGTGTGTACCTGGTGTTACTTGGCATTTGTTGGAAAATGTGAACTACTGTGATGTTAGACAAGGGTCGATAATGATAAAAATGCCAACAGTTCAGCCAAATTGTATTATGGGGTTTCTAGAAAGCATAGCTTATATTTCCAACAGGGCAAATCATTAACACATGCTGTTTGTTTTCACCTCTGATTTTGGCAAAAAGAAAAAAACCGAATTGCTTAATTAGTCCTTGCACATGACAGTTTTACAGAAACTAGACACAAATATTTAAGAAATTAGTAAATTTGTCCTTTTTCAGGCTCTGTGAGCTGTTTATACTATATTAGTCTATTAGTTTTTACATATATGCATCTTCCTATATTCTGACACTGTGACATTATTGCCCATAGAAAATTGACTTTGGCTCATGGCTTGTTTTTAGACGTTGGAGCATTTAGGACAATGGAAAAAGTCATTATTGCCTATGCTCTTTTCTTAATTTGTTTTTCATTAGATAGCCACTCAAGAAAACACCATGAAAGATACTGACATCAAGAGACTACTATATGTCCATCTATTATGCATATTTTCAATTATCCTAAGCATCTTCATTCCATCATTCTTCTTGGAGAACTTCTCAGTACTGGAAACACACTTGACATGGTTGTGCATCTGTTCTGTTTCTGTAACTGCCGTCAATTTAGTATTGTATTTAGTAGTGAAACCAAATGCATCTTCTAAAAGAAGTTCATTATCATACAAGGTAAGACTTATTTCTTGACACCTGATTTTTAGATGTAGGTAATGTTTTTATTACTGGATGAATAAAGTATTAGTCAAGTACTTATTGGGTTATTTACAGTGAATAAAGAAGCTGATTTTTTTTTTTTCTAGTCAGTAGCCTATTGCTTGCTGGAAGACTGTCTACAATGTTTGATAGATTCTTGCCATGTATTAATTGGATATCATAGCATTGTGAACCTATATAGTCATGTTTCATGTCATCATTGAAGATAAATATATCTTCAGTGTAGCAATATATATAAATATAGCAATCACACCTTTAAATCTTATTTTATAAGACATTTCAGTTTATTTTCATTCATCTTTTTCATTTCTGAAAGACAATGGGTTTTTCATAAATTACAAAATAAGCTCTTGTTTCAAGCTTGGCCTTCCTTGACTAAATAGCAGTTGAAGTTTTCAGACATTGGAATCTATTTTCTGGAATATTCACTACAGTGTAACACTTGACTATTATTTAAATTAATAAAGTCCTCACTTAACATTATTCAGTACTATGTGTATGTTCTTTATTAGGTAATTTAAAACACATTTACTGCCCTATGATTTAAAACACTCATTGTGTGTTTTATTATTAGATCTTCTTGAGCTCGAACTCAAGTAGGTCCCACACACTGATTTGCAGACATGCAGGTCTTTTTTTATGTGGATCATATAGTAACATGAATATGATTTGGGGAATTACTTAATATTGTGCTTTTTTTTGGTCCAGTTTTCCTAGGAATTTTGTTTTAAAATGAAAAAATATTATTATAATCATTATTTTCTATAAATATTTTGTGTATCATCACACAAGAAGGACTGTGTTTGTGTTTTTTTGTATCCTAGCACACTTATTGGTAAATATTTCATAAATACTGATTAACAACATAGTTCAATACTTAGCATAGAAACAAAAACATTTTCTGATTCTGCTGTTGGTTAGGTGAGTGGAACATGGGGATCGATTTTTGTCTTGTGGCTTTTTTACAGTGCTGTGCAAAGAACATGTGATCTGACTTCAGGAGCAGATCCAAAGAATATTCAGCTGTATCACACGTTATAGGGCTAAGTTGTATTTGTAGATAAAATCAAATCATTTGCTGTCCTTTAGTCATTCTCTTGATTCTTTAAGTTATTCATTTCTTTTTTAGGTAACCAGATTTTTGAAATGCTGTATCTACTTTCTTATGTCTTGTTTCGCCTTTCATGTAATTTTTGTTCTATATGGAGCACCACTAATAGAGTAAGTCTGAAATTTTTTACCTTAAGCCAACTATATTTTAAAACAGTCATTTATTAAACCAAGTGCTAATTCTATTGGTGATTAGAGAAAAAACATGATGTGTTTAATCAGTGGATCACGGAAGGATACTGACATCATTGCCCTTGGTAGTGTTATTTTTTTAAAAGACAATGGAATAACTTAATTCATTAAATGCTCCTATTACGTAGCCTTTTGTCATGCAATTGATTAAAGGGGGAGGTAGATGAGAAACTGTCATATACCAATAGGTGTGTGGCCCTTAGAACCTCTAAGGAAACTGACTATAATGATACATATAAATTAGTTATAAATAGTAAATGTGATTCTGAAGTGCTTGAAAAGAGTTTGTTTTCTTAAGAAAAGTCAATAGATTCTTGTATTTAATTACGTAGAAGCTAATGTTTATAGTTTAAAGGTAAAATTTAACTCAACACCTTTTCAAAACTGAACAGTTTTGAATTAGTGAAAGCCAAATTCATTAATATGTCTTATATAATGTTCCATTATAGTTTGGGAAAGTTCAGTTTAGCAGTGATAAATGATCATGTTGAAATGAGTGATGCAATACATACACACACACACGCACACACACACAGCTATATGTATAGTTTTACATATATATATATATATATATACCTGGTTATATATACACATACTAGATTAACAGGTAATTATATTCTAGAGTGGGGAGGACAAGACCTTTGTAATGGGAAATGATAAGTTCTCTGTAATCCATTTTAGAGTAGAATGAATGTCTGGAGCAGTGGTTCTCCAATTGTGGTTCTAAAACCAACATCAGCATTTTATCGAAATGCAAATTCTCAGGCCTTAGTCAGAAACAAATTTACCTAGTTCTCCAAGTGGCTCCGATATAAGCTAAATTTGAACAACGAATTGCAGAGAAAGTTCCAGAGACTATTGAGGAAAAAATTAATGATCTAGAAATGGGTTTTCTTGCAATGGTCAGTCTCAGTATCGTATGGCATTTAACACTTCTGAACTCTATCATCAAAGACAAATATTTGCTAGATTGTTTTTTATAGCTTGCATTTTGGTAGTAACATTTTTTATAGTCATGGTTTTGGTAAGACTCATGTTAGCTTTCTAAGTGTAAGAAAATAGTTTTATACTAAATCTATTTAAGTAAAAAAGATTGTGCGTGTGTGTATATGCACCTTTAACACTTAAGAAAAAATTAATACAGTGTTTTTTTTCTAGGTTGGCGTTGGAAACATTTTTACTCGCAGTTACTTTGTCCACTTTTACTACTGTACCTTGTTTATGTTTGTTAGGACCAAACTTCAAAGCATGGCTAAGAGTTTTCAGTAGAAATGGGTAAGTTTGAATTTTATATTCTAGTGATGTTTGAAATTTTTAAAAAAATTAATGAGGTACTTTTCTATTCATGGCAGCTTGCTGATTGTTCCTTGCGTGTTTCTCAGCACTGTATGGTTCTCAGTGATGCTGTAAGGGCCCACTGCAGCTGGGGACTGGGGCCAGGGAAGGGTGGCATGCACTTGAGGGAGACCCAAGCAGGCAGAATTATGGGCCTCTCCCTCCATGTTAGCAAGATCAGTTCTGCTTTTTTTTTTTTTTTTGTATGGTAGAATTCCACTTAGTTTTTGCTTGATAAAAGGTTTCTGTTACCAAAAGAAAACTCTGAAAACCCCTCCTTGGGGATAATTTATCACTGTGATAAAATTGCTACAGATCAAATTGCTTCCATACATCTTATAATGTAGAATTGGGGTTCACCATATAAAAATGTTTATTGGAACAGCTATAGTTTCTTGTTCAGCCTCTTTTGTGGTGAGACCTCTGAGTGCAGGTTTCACAGGATTTTTTTTCTTTTTCTGCGGTACGCGGGCCTCTCACTGCTGTGGCCTCTCCCGTTGCGGAGCACAGGCTCCGGACACGCAGGCTCAGCGGCCATGGCTCACGGGCCTAGCCACTCCGCGGCAAGTGGGATCCTCCCGGACCGGGGCACGAACTCGTGTCCCCTGCATTGGCAGGCGGACTCTCAACCACTGCGCCACCAGGGAAGCCCTTTACAGGATTTTATTCCCTTAGTATGTATTTTCAGCATCGTTAAGTTAAAATTTTCGCTTCTTGAAAGGCAGTGAAATCATTTGTATCAGAAATGGTTGAGTTATAACTAAGAAAACTAGAAAGTTATTTGGTGCCCATGGTTTTGTCTTGTTTATCACCCAGCAGCAAAAACTTCTTGAGCCCTTAACTCTGTGCTCTATGTTATGCAAACTCTGTGTGGAGTCTGTGGTATTAGCTGTGCTTCTCTCCATGAGGATCTTGGACATTCAAGGGGCAAGGATGAGATGAACAAAAACATAAGACGAAGTTTGTGTAACTCAAACAATGAAGTTTTAGGAACTCAGTAGGGTAGGAGACCACTGAAGAATGAGCTGGATGGGGGGATGATCTATGAAGGACTTGGATCAGGAGTAAGAGATTTGCTAAGACTAAGTCGGAAGGGGAGATACCCCACGCTATGGGATGAATAAAACTATAGAAACTGAAATGAACATGGTATTTTTGTGTGATTTGGAAGAGAACAGCCCAAGTGGAGCAGAGGATGCTTGCTGAGTAGCTAGGCTCCATAAATTACTGACTTTTTCCTTTTGAAATGTTTGTTTGTTCCCCTTCAGAACCATCTTCTAGTGTTCATAAAGTCTCAAGAAAACAAGTGTCACACTGAACACTTTTTCCCACATTGTTACCATAGTATCCCAAATGGCATTAATTTCTTTTAGTATTTTAGTTTGACATTTTTAAACAGTGAAAATCAGTTGAAACCTTATTGGTTTGGATTGGTGATTTATCCAGCTTTGAATTCTGTTTCTGATAATAGCATTAATGGTGTACTTGGGGGAGATACCGTCATTTGATTCTATAGTCAGTTCTGCTATAAGATGGCATATGCATTCCTAAAAATCCTTGCATTATGCAAAACTGGGCAAATAAGAAACACAGAACTTATGGGAAAAATGGGATGGGGCATAACACTCAAAAACTTCGTCAGTAACACATTAAAAAATGTAGGAACTTAATAAAAATGGCAGGACAGTTTAATACATGTTAAATGGTTAAGAATTGCATAAATATTTTAATAGATATGGCACTTTTCCTTGGACAAAACCTGAAACTTGCTTTTGGAAGTAGATGTGGGAAGGGTTGCCTCTTGTAAGTTATTATGAAGGAGGGTTGTTGGAAAGCTAAGACAGATGTGGAAGGTGTGGCTCATATACGTGAGGGGAACTGAGATAGCTGGGAGATGGGTTTTTAAACGGTATTGAGATATAATTCAAACACCATGTATGCCACCTATATAAAGTGTGCAATTCAATAGTTTTTACTATATTCACAGATATGTACAACAATCATTACAGTCAGTTTTAGAATATTTTCATCACCTCAAAAAGAAACTCCATGTCCTTTACCTGCCACTTCCTTGTTCCCCCTCCCCTAGCCCTAAGCAACCACTAATCTATTTACTGTCTGTAGATTTGCATATTTTGGACATTTCATAAAAATGGAATCATATATGTGATCTTTTGTGATTGCTTCCTTTGGACAATAGAATACTAGTAAAACTGTTAACAAGGGAAAACACACAGCAAAACTGGATTTATAAAATGGTGCATTTGAGTTTTGTTTTGAAGGATATATACATATATGTGTGTATATATGCAGATGTGCATATATCATTCTAAACAAAATTGTGTGTTTATTTGTGTATGTATAAAATATTTCTGGAAGGATATGTAATAAGCTGGTGATAGCAGTTGTTTCCGGGAAAAGGAATCAGAGTTGATGATAAGGGTGAGAGGAGGACTTAGCTTTCATTGCAGACACTCTTTTGTATTGTTTGATTTTCACTATGTGCATATATTACCTTTCCAGCTGAAAAACACTTATATCTTCTTACCAATTGATTGTTAATGATTCATGGCAAATATTTGTGTCAATTTGCGATGCTTATTTTAAATGAACAACATATATATATATGTATAGTGTTAATTTATGCTGTTTGTTTGATTCCCCAGCAGCTAAGATATATACCACCAATAATTTATATATTTGTGTTTTATAGGGTTACATCCATTTGGGAGAATAGTCTCCAGATCACTACAGTTTCTAGCTTTCTAGGAACATGGCTTGGAGCCTTTCCTATTCCACTCGATTGGGGAAGACCATGGCAGGTTGGTTTCAACTCTTTAAAGCAACAAAGTAGATGATTGTACAGTGATGGTAAAACTGATGAAGCTAACGAGTATGTATATTTAAATTGTTTTATCGTTCAGTTAAGTAGGGATGCCAATTCCCTCTGTTACTGTAATCTGGGTGATTTATTAGGGCCTGTCTCAGTGCCACAGGCATCCAGATCAGCCTGTTTCTATCTTCTAACACTATTTTTTTCTACATGTATAGGTGAATAAACAAGCTTGGTTTGAGAATATGTATAGGAGCTTAAGAGCCTAGAAGTTTCAGGAATTCCCTATTTTTAACTTTGATATACATTGCCTTTGTAGTCTTAGATTCGTATTTTCTTAGATTGATTGATAGCCAAATTGAATGTTGATTTTGAGATTTTTTTTTTCTTAAAGCATATAGCAAAGTAGGTTTTGAAATAGGGGCTTGTGATATTAGAGGAAGCTCATAAACATCAGGTTTTTTGTTTTCCATGACAATAGGATATAGCTAATAAGCTAGGGGAAACACTATAAGTGTTCTTTTTATCACCATTTTACAGATGAGGAAACATTCCTAGAGGACATGTAATATTCCAAGGTCACTGAGCTAGTGATGGATACATCTTTGTTGTAATTTTTAATGGCTTCATAGTAAACCTTTATATAGTTATTCCAAAATTTATTTAAAAAATTCACTATTGATCATTTAGTACTATTTTTACTATTATAAACAGTGCTATGATAAACATCTTTGAATCTATATCTTAATGGATTTTTCCAATATTAAGATGATTTCTCCCAAATCAATTGTGGTATTAAAAAATAAATGTACTTTCTTTTTCCAACATGAAGAGAATTTTCCTCTGATCACAAAGAGAGTATATATTTATTTAGAAAATTTAAGCTATACTAATAATTATAAAAAGTAAGTAAAAATTATCAAATAGCCAGCCACCCAGAGACAACTCCCATTTGTGTTTCGGTGGTAATCTTTGCAGCTCTCTCTTCATGTGTGTAACTATTCATAATACACATTTTATTTATTTATTTATTTATTTATTTATTTGTGGTACGCGGGCCTCTCACTGTTGTGGCCTCTCCCGTTGCGGAGCGCAGGCTCCCGACGCGCAGGCTCAGCGGCCATGGCTCACGGGCCCAGCCACTCCGCGGCATGTGGGATCTTCCCAGACCGGGGCATGAACCCGTGTCCCCTGCATCGGCAGGCAGACTCTCAACCACTGCGCCACCAGGGAAGCCCACACATATTATTTTTAATCTTTTTTTTCCCTTCAACAGCATATTATGGAGCTCATTCCATGTCAGTGAAAATTTGCATTATAATACTCCATTATTTGGGTAAAATCATATACCAATTTCTTATGAATGGACATTTAGATTATTTATAGTTTTCACTATTACTAATTTATTACGAATTATTGTGATTATCATAAAACATATATCTTTGCAGATTTGTCTAGGTTTTTTAAAAAATTAATTAATTAATTAATTAATTTGGTTGCACCAGGTCTTAGTTGCGGCTCACCAGCTCCTTAGTTGTGGCATGCAAACTCTTAGTTGCGGCATGCATGTGAGACCTAATTCCCTGACCAGGGATGGAACCCAGGCCCCCTGCATTGGGAGTGTGGAGTCTTATCTGCTGCGCCACCAGGGAAGTCCCTCCAGTTTTCTCTTTAGTGTAAATTCCTAGGTAATAAGTGGCTGGGTTAAATCTCTGCTATGTATGTCACTTTCCAAAGGCCCTTGAGGGATCTGAATTATATGTCTTGCACTTAACTGCCTACTTTTTAAGTCCATTCTTTGTGCTTTCTATTAGATGTTGTGTCTCCTAGACAAATGTGTTGTTCTTTTACATTCAGTAAGTTTGGTAGGTTTGCCCTTCTCTACTATATGTTATGGAAATCCCTGGAGGTTTGGGGTGTGTGGTGTCACTGATACCCTTTCCAAGGTTATAATATTAATAAAGGTTTCCTTTATATTTTCTTGGTCGTCTCAGTGACCACTGGGAAATGGGGATTCATTTGTACTCAAGTTACAATCTTATGGAACTTAATTTCATTCAATAGTGTCAGTGATTTCTAAATTGGAGGACAATCAAAATCATTGAAAAGTATACACAGGAAATTGTATTTTAATTCCTTACTTTCAGATGTATGCAATTAAATCTAAATACAAAGTATCGATATATAAAGCACCGTTGGCCCTCAGCTTATGAGTTGGTAAGGTACAATGTAATTAACATGTTAGTTTGCGTATAGGTGGAATATTTTAGAGTGTAAAAGTTTGATATGTTACACTTGTATAAATCTTCTCTTTATAAGACTATGCAGAAATAGATGTTGAATTATGGGGAGTAGATGCCCTCTGTACAATCTGGGTTTAGGTTTCCGTAGAAAATATATTTTTTGATTATTTACAATTCAGTTATCTATTTTCGATTGTTTGGGCTTTTACCTACTGACTCTCATTTTTCTACCTCAGTTCTTGTTTACAATAAGAGGTGAGCCGGATCCAAATTAATGGTATCAGACTTTTAAAATTAGTATAAAGTTTCTATTTGAATTATTGACTTTAAAAAAGGTTTTCTAACTAGCTAATTTAATATGTAACAAATGTTGGTCTTCATTAAGAATGTTTCATTTGACTGGAATATTACTGGTTGTTTAATCATCTTTACTGTTGAGTTGTTTTTAAAGTATTCCAAGTTAATGACCCACTTATTCACTATCATCTTTTAAAATTATGATAGATACTGTTGGTGAAATAATAGAATTGATGTATAATTAATCATCTTTTATTCATATAATAATCACCTGCCCCTTTCCCTTTTAGCAGTGATTTACTGATAAACTAGAGAAATGCTGAGGCATCTTTTTTGTTCACTTTTTATTTTCATTGAACAAGTTTTTTGTTCTGTTTTGGTTTTTTTCTTCATAAACCTCACTACAGAATAAGTACTCCGTGTGGCTCATGGTGCTGACAGAATCTGCCAGAGAAACAATAAACCAAATGAAAGATCATGGCGTCACCTCAGAATGGAGATTCTTCTAGAGTAAAATTTCACGAGAAGATAACTACTATATATACTTCATTATCTAAACTGTAATATTATAGTATTAGGAAGAGAGGTTAGTTCTCTATTCCTTATAGCCCAGTAAAGATTTGATATGCTTGTGGTAAAGCAAGCTTTTCTGGATTGGGATCTGGTTTTACTGATGTTTCAGTCAGAGAAACAAGGGTATCTGGTTAAGCAATTATACTTTCTTTAAAAACACATACCATCCACCTCACAAAAACTTTTGCATGTTTAGTTCCATTTTTTCTACTTTGAATTCAAATCTGACTTCGTATAAAATTTCCGGAGGCCAAACATAAGATTATAATGATGTGAGTTCTGTACTGAGCAATTTCAAGAATATTTATATTTTTTAAATTGTTTCATCATTAAATGACTAGAAAGGCCCATTGCAAATATATAACCTCAATGAAAAATGTTTTTCACTTACTAATAGGAATTTTAAATAATTTTAAGTAATGACAAATGACAAAAGATACCAGGCATCTTTATAGCTGGAGGAAGCCTTCCCTTTCTAGGAGGCAGCAAGAGAATTTGGTGAAAGAGAATGTGGTCGGTGGCTGCCCACTATGTTGTTGGTAATCTTTATTGTTTTCTTTAAAAATAATTGAAAGTCATCTTGCTTCTCTTCCTTGCCTTAATTATTACATTATAAACATTTGAATTGCCCATAACTCAGACAGCCTTCTTCAGCCCCAGAGAAAGCTTCTAGTTATAGTTACTGACAAAATGAATATTTTGACCATGGAAGATCTTTGTACATTATAATTTGATGCATTATCTGCTGTAAAAATAGCTAATCAGTAAATATTTGTTGAGTTCTTACTGTGTACAAAATACATATTCTGTGTAAGTTACAACAGATACTTAAATATTACCAGGACTGGAATTTAATTGTTTGGTAATGATAATTTAGATTCATATTGTGATTTAGATTCAGATTTAATATGCTCTAAATATTTTGCAGAATAGATGGTTATGAGCTTTTCATCTGGAAAATGTCTTAATTATCAAAAGTCGGCTAGTATTTCATGTTATTAAAAAAATTAACGGGAGGTTGGGAATTGTTGTTGGTTATTCTGAGCAAAGGAAATTTACCATGAAGTTTTTAAAACCACATGTTTTATTAATAGGTAGACAGATAACAGGATGATTAAGAGCTCTGGCATCAGATTATTGAGTTCAAATCCTGGCTCTGCCACTTGCTAGTGAGGATTAAATAATATAATCCTTCTAAAGTACTTAGTTCAGAACCTGACACATAGTTACTGCTTAATTACTGTTATAGGCATTTATGACCTATAAAAGGAGTAGGTTAATGACTATTTTTTTTAGCATTACCAAAAAACCCTGCAAATTCCATTATTTGAGTTCTCCAAGTGTTAGAGCATGTTAACTGTCTCAGTTTATTGTATTCATGCTGCCTGATAATCCTTAAATTGGTAGGGTGGATTGTTAAATCATCTTTTTTTCCCCTGGTATTTAGGTATTTAGGGTATTTGGATTTCATGTAACTTTCAATTCTGTCTGACATTTCGGATGGCAATAGAAAGAAAACGTCGTATCTGTCTATGTACCAGGCATGGGCTTGGCACTGTCACACAGGCAACTTAATCCTGGTAACCCTAGTGCAAGGTAGGGTTCAGTCCCACTTCTACACAAAAGAAAGCAAAGTGTGAGGAGAGGGGTACACATCTTGTTCAACATTTCTTGGCTGATTAGAGGAAGACTCAGGATCCAGTGCCCCAAGACACCATGATTCTCTTTATCCTTGGAGACTCTGAAACATAGCTTTTCTTTTTAAAAAATGGCCATAGCTTAGATTTGGGGGGGAAAGGTTGAGTAGTTATTATATTGTGTTTCTTTCTTCACTTGAGAATTTCATTTAAGTGCCATGACCACTCTGGTAGTGTTTGTATTTTAGACCATAAAATTTAATGTATTTGTAGGAGAGTATTTGAAGCTAAGATGTGAAGCTTTTGTACCTAGAAAACCAACAAATATCTTTAAACTCTGGACTTCCATGCTACTGTCTCCAAAATGGAATTGACCCAGAGAATCAAATCTCTTCTGAGCATATTTATTTCTTATAAAGTTAAAAAGCAAAATGGATTGAGATTGTCTTTAAAACAATTTTAAGTTGTTTAAAAATATTTGTACTTGTTCCCATCAGATACCAGATAAATGAGGCATTATTATATTTAAAAACTTTTTTGTTTTCTCTGGTTTTATCAGGTTAAAAAATTAATATCTGTGAAACATATATATTCATTTTTAAAAGTCACAGATGCCACAGATAATACTTTCATAAATTGAAGCTGGAGATCATAAGGATAATTAAATGAATCACTGCAAATAATGACAGTGAGGGATAAAGCTAAGATTATGGATTTAATTATTGAAGGGTGCATATTTTTAGGTTAATTGGTGTTTCTGTTGCTAAAGGTGTTATACAGTATTTTAGACAGACCAAAATAAAATATTAATGTATATGAAATATGAGTTACATATTTCGAGCATGGAAAAAAAACTATAATGTGTAACTGATAGAAAATGGTTTTGGATTTAAAAGGTGGGTTCACTGTTGGGCAGTGAGGTTGAAAATGATCTGCTAGCAGAACTTTCATGTGAGGGAGAAGAGTGCTGGCTAAGGTAACTCATTTGCATGGTCCTGCCAAGGACCATTTATCGTCACTTTGGCAAGAAGTTCCAGCCTGGAGACTGCGGACCGCTCCACAAATAGCTCTTCCTAAATCTGTGTTCTTAGTCACAGGAGAGTGGTATGGTATACATGGCACACGGAAGAGTTACAACTAGAGAGATGTATCCAGATGAGTAGATTCATCTGTACATGTATTCCTACATCAGACAATAGCATTTGCTTTAAGGACATCTGGAAAAACACATCACTTAAAACCAAATTCAGAGGAAAATATAAATAATCATTTAAAACCAGTAGAATTTTTGAAAGTAGGTTTTTAAAAATGAATTCTATCAGTCATGCAAATGTAAATTTGTGGTAAACATGATAAACAAAACATACTAAAAAGTAGTTTGAAATTTAGAACTGCCTGGGCTTTATCTCCCTTTTTTATCTGAAAGAGCCAGTAATCCTAATGGTTATGAGTTGTTCTAAGTGTTTCTAGGTTTTTTTATCTGCAGATAGGTCAGTTTTCCCATGATATCTATCATAGTACATACCTCTCCAAAAATTATATTGAAACATTTTTTAAAGTTTGTGTTATTAAAATTTATCTTAAAAATTAAATAATCTTAGTTTGCCCCTTAACTGCTTGGTTTATAGTAGGGGCTGTCAATAAATAGTTTTGAATATACAGAGCCATTCAAATGGAGACTCTTAAAAATGATAGAAATGCCTACCAGTGGTTGGTTTAAAATCAGTTTCTGTACTTATACTTCTTAAAAGTTATGAAAAACGACAGCTAGGAGCAAGAATCACCCATCTATTTCAGTGGTAAGGCTACATATGGTTAATATAATGCCATATGCTATATAGCTCTTGAGAGTTTTCTCTTGTAAGCTTTATGCTCCCCAGACATTTCATGGGAAGAAAAGCAAGTACTAAAGATGCTTATATTACAAGGGCAAGGGAATAGTTCCTACAGCACAACATAACATTGCTCATAAACTATTAATATTTTATTTGTTCTAAACTGCAGGGTCTAATTATCACCTATTAGAATACCTAAGAAGTACTTCCATTAGTGATCATGTAAGTTTAATTTTTTCAAGTTAAAATATGTAATATACAGAATGATACTGATGCATGGTACTTTACAGCTTTCATGACAGATTTTTAAGTATTACTTCATTTAATACAAGAGCCCCATGTTTTAAGTACAAGAGGTATTATTATCCCTGTTTTGCAGTTGGGAAACTGAGGCTCAGGTGTTAAGTGACCTGGCAAAGGTCATATGGCCAGTAAGTGGCTGACTGGCCCTGCATCTCAGATCATTCTCACTCCAATGTCGCATGCCATTTCCTAGAAAAGCAAAGTAAAGCTCCCAAGTAAAATATAAAGTATTTTTAAAAGCAGCCTAATGTTTTTATATAATTAGCTTTTTAAACTTTTTGTTGAATATTTTAAACTAATTTCAAAAAAAGTCACCATTATCCAATCCCAAATACCTGATGAAACCTGCAGCAGCTTATAAACTGCCATAGTCAGTGATATACCAAACTAGCTGTTTTATGGAGTAAAAATGTAATCTATTTGCACTTGTTATATTGTGCATATTATAATTAAAATGTATTTAAACTGTTTACTCTCAATTCACACAAAGGCCATCTACGTCATTGAAATTGATCCTTAAAATTCTGAAACCAAAAAGTGAAAGGTCATTGTATTTCTTTGACCGACTAGAACAGTTAATAAAAATACTTATTAGGGTAGAGTGATGAAGAGTACAGGGATTCTTTTTTTTATTATTGGAGTATAGTTGATTCACAATGTTGTGTTAGTTTCTGGTGTACAGCAAAGTGATTCAGTTATAGATATGTATCATATTCTTTTCCATTATGGTTTATTACAGGATATTGAATATAGTTCCAAGTGTAGGGATTCTTAACCAGGAGTCCATATATGGGCTTCAAGTTTGTGAACCCTTGAAATTATATGGATGTGTGTATATACACATCCAACTACCATCTAATGGAATTCATGCTTCCTTCTCGTCAAACATGATCCATATATATGTAGATGTAATTTTTTAAAAATACTTTTAAAGTACTTAAAATTTGGGCAGGATTTTAAAAATAGCTTTAGAGATGGTATATTTGAGGAATGATGGTATTCTAGATTGTAATGACAACTTATTTCATATGTGCCTATTAAAAATATGAACTAAAAGATTATTATCAATTATAACTCACATTAATTGGTCACTTGTACTATGTGCCAGATACTGTTATAGGTATGGTTATAAGTATCACACATCACATTGTCTCATTTGATCGTTACAATAACCCTATGAGGTGAGTTTTACAGTGATCCTTATTTTGTAGATGAGAAACCAAGGCACAGAAAGGTTAGGTGACTTGCCCAGGGTCACATTTTGGTAAACTTTTTTTTTTTTAACATTTTTATTGGAGTATAATTGCTTTACAATGGTGTGTTAATTTCTGCTGTATAACAAAATGAATCAGCTATATGTATACATATATCCCCATATCCCCTCCTTCTTGCGTCTTCTTCCCACCTTCCCTATCCCACCCTTCTACGTGGTCACAAAGCACCGAGCTGATCTCCCTGTGTGATGCGGCTGCTTCCCACTAGCTATTTTACATTTGGTAGTGTATATATGTCAATGCTCTCACTTCATCCCAGCTTTTACCCTTCCCCCTCTGTGTCCTTAAGTCCATTCTCTACGTCTGCATCTTTATTCCTGTCCTGCCCCTAGGTTCATCAGAACCATTTTTTTTTTTTTTAGATTGCATACATATGTGTTAGCATACGGTATTTGTTTTTCTCTTTCTGACTTACTTCACTCTGTATGACAGACTCTAGGTCCATCTACCTCACTACAAATAACTCAATTTTGTTTCTTTTTTTATGGCTGAGTAATATTCCATTGTATAAATGTGCCACATCTTCTTTATCCATTCATCTGTCAATGGACACTTAGGTTGCTTCCATGTCCTGGCTGTTGTAAATAGTGCTGCAATGAACATTGTGGTACATGACTCTTTTTGGGTTTGTTTTTTTTTTTAAACAATTCTAACCATTTACTGCTTAAACAGGAAAAGTTTTTTGTTGTTGTTTTTTGTTTTTTGCAGTACGTGGGCCTCTCACTGCTGTGGCCTCTCCCGTTGTGGAGCACAGGCTCCGGACGCGCCAGGCTCAGTGGCCATGGCTCACGGGCCTAGCCGCTCTGCGGCATTTGGGATCTTCCCAGACCGGGGCACGAACCCCGTGTCCCCTGCATCGGCAAGCGGACTCTCAACCACTGCGCCACCATGGAAGCCCCCAGGAAAAGTTTTTTAAATAGAAGAACACCAAAAATGTATCTGTTAAAAGAGTGTCATTGTCTCATACAGTCCCACCCTCTTGAAATTGCAACACAACCTCTAGATTTCACAAAAAGAGAAATCCAAAATGTGGTATCTTCATAAAGAAATGGCACACAGATCTGTATGTTTAACCCAGTGCCTTCAGTAATTTCTTTGTCTGGGTCAGTATTGGTTTCTGCAGAATTGGAATGCTGTCTGGAATAATGACTGTGGGTCATCTCTCCATTTATAAGTTCAATCATATGATACACTTGCTTTTCGAATAACTAGCAAAGAAGAAATTAACAATGAAATCCAGTATTTGCTGGATCTGAGGGCATGACTCACTGGGTTTTCTCAGGGTATATGCCCAGTAGTGGGATTGCTGGGTCATATGGTAGTTCTATTTTCAACCCATAGTGGCTGTATCAATTTACATTCCCACCAATACTGCAAGAGGGTTCTCTCTTCTCCACACCCTCTCCAGCATTTATTGTTTGTACATTTTTTGATGATGGCCATTCTGACTGGTGTGAGGTGATACCTCATTGTAGTTTTGATTTGCATTTCTCTAATGATTAGTGATGTTGAGCATCCTTTCATATGTTTGTTTGCAATCTGTGTATCTTCTTGGGAGAAATGTCTGTTTAGGTCTTCTGCCCATTTTTGGATTGGGTAGTTTGTTTTATTGATATTGAGCTGCATGAGCTGCATGTATATTTTGGAGATTAATC